GGATAAAAAATTACGATGAGCTGGAATACCACCTAGATTTTTTTGATCTGCCGTAGATTAATTTTAGTAAGCAAGAAACATTTTAGAACATTTCAACAACATTGCAACTACATCGTAACGTTCAGTTCATCGTCATTTTTTATCCAGACTATCCGATGCCAAAGCGATTACGTTGTAACATTGTTGCAATATTGCTGAAATATTCTAAAACGTTTTTTTCTTACTAAGATCAAACCTCAAAAGGTAAAATGATAAACATCAAAGGTTTATAAACGGAATTTAATAATAACAATTATTAAATAAAATTTTCTGTCTTATAATTTAGATTAAACAAACTTTGAACGACGTTCACTGGATCAATTCTTATATCATTTGTTATATAAGAATCTTATTTAATAACTTATGGAAAAGAGAAAGTTGCGTGTTACTATAAGAACTAGCAAGATTATCAAAATGATTGCAGAATTTCAATTTACGCGCTACATTTACATAAACAATAAATTGTATTTACCAACATTATATTATTTATAATTTAAGTTTTTCTAAACAAATATTTCAAACAATTAAAAAAAAATTGAACTGACACGGAATCTTTTCTGTCGTTTTCGCTAGAGAGACAACATTCAAAAGGAGATACTAACGGAGTAATTAATTGAGCGATCGAACTTTCGACTCCTGAAGTATTCTCCCGGACAAATCGAGCGAGATCCAGGAGAGTGGGTGCGAGCAATCGGTAACGGCCGAAGCCACGCGACGCTGAGCATCGTTGTGATGGCAATGGCAGCGGTGGTTGTGGTGGGTGAAAGCTCGACGGCGTCTAGAGGTTGCTGGGTCGCCGCCATGCTGAATTCCTGCCGTCGCGCGAACCCCTAGTTGCTTTCTGGTAATCGTTGCCAGGGATGCTACAACCCCTCCAGATGAAAGTTGCCACGCCCGGATCGTGGATGGACCAATGACGCCGGGACGTCGCGACGACGGCATCTACCAATAGGATTACCCTCTGATACGCTCTTTCGCTTGTCGGCGACTGCTGCATGCCCTTCCCCTGCAATTCCTTTCGTGAAGCTGGATGCTTTTCAATTTCGGACCCACGGCCTCATAAACGCAGCCAACCCCATCCACTCTCACGCTGAAAGATAGATTGGGATAGAAGGGATTGCGAACACAGAGTAGTCAAGTTATTTGGCGTCGGCGTGTCGGTATGCACGCAACAATTGTAATCTGCGTGGAATATCGGGAATTGTGAAGCGGAATAATGTATGTATGTGTGCCCGATTATGCGAATGCGTATATATATGTGATGGTAGGATAGTTCACACACACATACACACACACGCACACGCAAAACAGAATATTCCAGAATATTTAGAATTATTTTTTGTGTAGATAGAGTAGATTAAATTGAGTCGAACGATCCTTTACTATTTCGCAATTTTCGCAATGAGATATTAATTTTTAAAAAATTGCTGAATAAGCAGGCCATACTACTAAATGCACGCCCACCTGTCGTAATAACTAAAAGCGCAGGGAGTTGTTTATTATAAGCGGAAAAGGTACTCGCAGTGGAAAGAAAATAACACGTTGGGCGATCATATCTTGCTGCGCGCTTGCATTTGGCGATAGACTGGGCGAATATACGCGATCTTTAGAAATTAATATCGTTAACTATTGCGAAAATTGCAAAACAGTACAGGACTTTTCGACTAAATTTAGTCCGCTCTATTTGCACACAAAAAATAGCACTATATATATTTTAGAACACTCTGTATGTGTCTGAAAAATAGAAATAGTATATTGACAACGTGATCAATCATTTGAGTAATGTAAAAGGGGAACGTTTACATTACATAAAACTGCATATTTAAGATAAAAATATACTGAAAATTACAGATCTTTCATAATACACAATATTATGTGAACTGTAAATTATAAACTAAAAAAGTCAAACCTAAAAAGTAAAAAATTACAAACAAATATGATACAAATTAAGATTTAATCCTAAACTTACAATGATTCTAATTTTTAATTCAAGTATCTCATCAATCTCTATTTAAATTTTGGATAAAAACTTAATATATGATTAACATTGTTAAAAATTTCCTATTTTATAATTTTAACTTTTTCTTCATTACTTTTTCTATTTGTTACGATAATAAAAAATGTAAGTAATATACAATAAAGTTGACGAGTTATAATCTATACTTATAACATAAGTCGATCATTCGCGTTAATTGTAAGTATGATTTAATATTTATTGATAATGCTTACGTTACGCAAACTCAACATAACAGAGTTACATAATTTCTATAAATTTTTACTACATATCGATTGGAATGCGTAATTATAGATATTATATAACGTATATCCTTATCGAAAGATTAAGATTTTCGTGGTATACGATTAATACCAATTTCTTAAAAACCGAGTATTTACGAGACATCCATCAAACCCTCGCTCGCCTCGTTTAATGCCACGCTAGAAAGTAGAACGAGCAGCGGAGAGGAAGTTGCTCTTCCTCCCTCGATGAATACCTCAAAGGGGATGTTCCGATCGGTGCGCACATCTCAAGCATCACCCCGCAAATTTATACGCCTCTGCTTTCTTAGCGCGTCTTTTGTGCAATGTTCCTTAGACGAGCGTTATTTTCATGCATGTGTGATAAAGGTATATATGTACTTTGTGTGACTTCTCGGAAAAAATTTTTTTTAGCGCAACGTACGTAATACCAGATTGTGTGTTGCGTTAAGATATACTTGATAAAAAATATTATGACCTTCGATATAATAATGATATTTAACGGCGGGATTTGTTGTATAAAGAACATACTAAAAAAAGCTATATGTAATAGAAAAGAAAAAGAATATTTTTAGAAATTTTTCTTAAGATAAAATTTCCACGACATTATATTTTTATGTTTTAATTGTTAAATTAAAACAGATGTTTTGTTCATAAAAGTATTTTGTATTAATAAAAATATTTTCTGTTATAATACGAGTTATTTCGGTTTAAAGATCGGCGGGAATTACTAATTTTTCAGTTTCGGTACTGCGATATGGATTTCCGACTCTCACATTGATCAGATGACATGTTAAGGATGACGGGATGCATAATGACAGTTTTGGGAAATTCGTTAACAAAGCCCATTTTTAACTTAATAATCAAATGTTTTAATTATGTACTTTCGTTTGACTTTTATAAACACAAAGTGCCTTTTTGCATACACGAATCGTATTTAAGAAAAAATACACCGTCAAAAAGACCTTCGCATTTACCCAGGCTGAAGCACATAGTGACAACTCCATTATCGTTAAAATTAGAGGTTGCAAGACATTATCAACCATTTTGCTTAAATGCCATAGATATTACACAAGTAACGCCCATATTATTATTATACTGAAAAATATATATAAATAAACAAAAAGAATTGAAAATTTCAAAAATGCATTGTTCATTAGAATTAAAAAATCATGCTTTATTTCTTGAAATAAACAAGTTTTGAATTAGCTGGGAGATTGGCATGAAAAAAATGCACATACATAAATTTATATGGAAGGAATGGTTTATTTAATATGAAACTTTCAAAAAAACAAATATGATACTTATCACAGTTAGAATCACTTAAAAATTCATGAGGCGTCAAAAAATATTATTGACAACAGAATACTTTAAGTATATATATTATGTATTAAATATTACGTAGTAAGTATTAGTATTAATAAAGTATTAAGTATTAAATATTAAAAATATATGTATCATGAACATATTAAATAGCTAAACTTCGGAAACGTATAGGTGATCGATAAACTAAGAAAAAGTTCTCGTTTTTATTTCGTTTTGGAAAATAATTGGCGATAATTTATTGAGTTTTTGAAAAAAATAATACGGCTTGTTCTTAATACAATATATATAATAATGTTCGACGACAATCCACACATATTGATGACGAACATTGCGAGCGCATTTCAATAATCAAAAAACTAAACAAGCATTTTTCATCAATATAGGTGGAGTGTTGCGATAAGTAATTATGTTTTATAATGGTTTTTATTTTTATGTAAAGCGGATCAATATACTACTGAAGATGGCCTAATGAAGGCCAAGACGTTCATGTGATATATATCACATATTTAATAAAGATTTTATAAAATAATTCGCAAATAAGACTTTGCGTGGGTTTTATGCTCTTTTTTTTATTATTGTTTATCTAAAAGTTCTATCTCGTTATTATTGTATTTTTTATTTCTTAGGTGAGAATCACACGCAATACTCGCACAAAATAAATATATAGTGTGGTGTGGTAGATGATCATTTTTGATAAAGTTATTTTTTTTAAGGAAACATTAATGCTCAAATGTACATGAAATTACTTACAAATCAAATAATTTCAGCTGTATAAAATACTTT